ATCTGGGCTGCTCCGTAAATGGCTTTGGTCCCAAAAGGCAGACAACTGCAAATTTGCATGGTCGTCAATGTCTTAATGAGTGCTGCTCTCAGCTCTCCATCATTGAGTGACCGTTATAGTATATCAGGGGCGGGACGAGGGGAAATGGTGGACGTTGCGAAGTTTTAGAGAGTTAATTATATGGGTTAGAAAAATGTGCAAGTGACTTATTCTATTTGTAAATAATTAAAATGATTTTTAAAATTCTTAATAATTCAAATTAGCCTTGTAAAAGCTTCTTTTTGGGGGCTATATACAGGGTGTCCGTAAAGTATGTATACACTGTTTGGACGTTAATATCTCTTTTCCCAAGAAGTCTTTTGCCTTGCTTCAGGTACCATTTTGTAGAGCTGGCTTCAACTTAGATTTGCAGTATAGAACAAATCATCCACCTCTCTTCATTACTGTAGGAATATGGTAGAAACTTGAAACATTTGGTGTCAATGTGGAAAAAGCTGCCGTTTCAAGATTTTTCAAAAAATGTGAAAACTTGTATAATAGGGTTTTTATGGACGCGGGGTTCAATAATCAACTATTCACAAGATTGTGAAGCTTTCTAAAAGGGGGTAACCGCACTTTTCAGGAACATTAAAAAAAATGGCCGCTACCTCTTACCTGGCATAACTCTTCAATGAAGCATCATAATAAATTGGGAACTTTACAGTCAGAATTAGCAACTCTAATTAGCGTAGCGTAAAATTTTCAGGCTGTTTTGTTTTTTTTACTCAGGCAAAATATGGCCTTTCATGGCTCAAAACCCTCTTTGAAATTTCCACCGTAATCCTACAGTAATGAAGAGAGATGGGTGGTTCGCTCCATACTGTGAATCTAAGTTGAAGCCAGCTTTACAAAATGGTACTTAAAGCAAGGCAAAAGACTTCTTGGAAAAAAAGATATTAACGATCAAACAGTGTATACATACTTTACGGACACCATGTATATATGGAGCCCGAAAATTGTCTGTTTGGAGGGTATGTGCGTTATAGAAAGATGCGCCGCTCAACTGATTGAGCTTAAACATTGCGCACAGATGGCCAGAGCCAGCCAAAGAGCTCCTGAACGATTACCCGGGCCGAACCGAAAAAGCCAGCTAATTTCCAGATAAAGGTAGTTGATAGGCACTCGATAATTCCGAAATCCAACGTTTTTGTAACCAACATGTTTACATACACTTGTGTGCCAACTCTTAGACGCGTACTTACTTAGATACTTAGATGGCCCGGCTTCACGTGACGTGCGGGCCCCAGCTCAGAAGTTTCCATTTCTCCCTGTCCCTCGCTTCTGACATCCACGATCTTCTTGGCTGACGTCGGTGGCTGCGTCCACGAGTTCCAGGTGCAAAAATCGTATCCAGCTGATTTCTCAGCTGGTCCATCCGTTCCACGAACACGTCTGCCCATCTCGTTGGTGGTCTTCCTTGGGGACGTTTTGCTTCGCGAGGAATCCACTTCGATGTTCTTAGTGTCCATCTGTCGTCTGCTCTTCTCATGATGTGACCGGCCCATCGATGCTTCGCTTTCGCAACGTAATCCGCTGGGTCACGAAGACGGGACATTCTCCTCATATCCGTACTGCGAAGTCCGACGAGATGTTGTTTGTGTCGGGTCGTCATCAGAAGACTACGCTCTAGCGCTCTGTGGGTGGTCCTTAAAGCTTTCGAAGTGGCGACAGTGTCAGCCCAAGTCTCAGCTGCGTAACAGAGCGCCGGGAGAACGGTTGAGTCGAACAGGTGGGCACGAAGCTTCGGGTCCGTCAGTTGGTCGGTGGCTTCCTTCAGAGGCCCGAAGGCGGCCCAGGCTGCTCTTCTTCTCCTGTTAAGTTCTTCCCTCAAGTCGTTCTCCATGTTCATCGAACGTCCGAGATACACGTAAGAAGACGTCTCCGTGATAGGGGTGCCTTCCAATTCCATTTCTGCATCTTCGCAAAGGGCGTTCTTCATGAACTGAGTCTTCTTCCGATTGATTCGCAATCCGATCTTCTTCCCTACTTCGTTCAGTTCCTTCAGCATCGTCTCTGCTTCAGTGATACTGTTCGATAAGAGAACGATGTCGTCCGCAAAACGAAGGTTCGACAGAAATCTCCCATCAACTTGAATGCCTCTCTCGCCCCAGTCCAGTGATTTCATCACCCACTGCAAGGCCGCGGTGAACAGCTTCGGCGAAATTGTGTCGCCTTGTCGAACCCCCTTCCCAATTGGGATGGTCAGGGGGCGATGGAATAGCTGCATCGTCGTTGTACAGTCCTTGTAACAGTCGGCTAACGTCCTCACGTAAGCTGGGTCCACTCCTTGATCGACTAGCGCAGACAGGATGGCGTTGGTTTCGACGCTGTCAAAGGCTTTCTCGTAGTCGACAAAGGTTAGGACGAGAGGCAGTCGGTATTCCCGGCAAACTTCTATGACCCTCGAAACCGTCTGGATGTGGTCCATGCAGCTGAATCCTTTGCGAAATTCAGCTTGTTCTTGGGGTTGGGCTTCATTCAGTGCCCTAGATATCCGAGCGAGGATAATCTTCGTGAAAAGCTTGTACAGCACACTCAGCAGGCATATTGGATGGTAGTTCCGAATTAATCTTCCCGTTCACCCTTCTTGAAAAGAAGGACAGTTCTTGATTCTTCCCGTTCACCCTTCTTGAAAAGAAGGACAGTTCTTGATGTTCTCCACTGGTCGGGAATCCTTTCCTTCTGAAGGTAAGTTGTTAAATGCGACGCGAGGATCTCGTGTAGACGTTGTTCTCCAGCTCGCAGAAATTCGACGGAAAGATGGTCTGGTCCTGGAGCCGTGGACATCTTCATGGTCTGAATCGCTGTGCGCACTTCAGCAGGTAGAATTCGTGGTGGTACTTCTCCAGTGGGAACAACGGGCATCGGCACGGGTGTTGATGAGCGGAAGAGGTTGGTATAGAAGTTCTTCGCGATAGATTCCATCTTGTATCGGGAAGAAGTCGGAGTCCTGTCTTCGTTCAATAGTGCAGCCAGCGGTACGCGATATTCACAGAGGTCCCTTCGGCACTTCTTGAGACTTCGTCTTCCTTCGGCTGCTTTCAGTATCTTGGCTTGCCTGTACTTCCTGAGATCCTCCTGCAAAGCTGTTCTGCAACTGGCGTTGGCTAACAGTCGCTCGAGATGGGTTGCGTTCGGATCCTGCCTCAGAGATCTTCTTCTTTCAAGCATTTCCTTGGTGGTCTTCGAAACGCGTTCAACATTCTTTTCGGAAGTTACTGAGGCGCACTCTCCGCAGGCTCGCAATCCTTTCAGAAGCCGGTCGTAGTCGTAAGTTGGGTCCTCCTCGATGGGCCAGTCACAACTTGATATGAGCTCCTCCAGCCTGTTACCGTCATAAACGACATTCTTCCTTCTTGCGGCACCGTGGCAGACCTTCTTTTTCAGCCTTCGACTAAATCGTACCTTCGCTCGAAGGAGGCGGTGATCGGAGCCACAGCAGAAGGATGGAACTACTGAGATATCGAGCAAGCTTTACCTTCGGTTGGTGAGAATGTGGTCGATCTCCGCGTAGGTCGTTCCGTTGGGCGATTCCCATGTCCACCGGCGATGTTCTTTCTTCATAAAGATGGAATCTCCATGGAAAAGTTGTGCGGCGGAGAGAAGCCCAACAAGACGGTTGCCGTTTTCGTTCCGGAGCCCATATCCAAACTTCCCGATCCTATATTCCTTTTCCAGTGGCATCCCGATTTTCGCGTTGAAGTCGCCCACAACAAACTTATAAAAGGACTTCTCGTTGCGGACGACCTCCTCCACATCTTCGTAGAAAGCATCTAGTTCTGATTCGTCAGCTGCTGATGTTGGAGAATAGCAGTTGATGATGCTGATGGTCTTCTGATGTAGAGGTCGTAGTCGTAGGATGCCTAGCCGAGGTGATAGGATCTCGTGCGAATCGACAAGATGGACGATAGATGGGTGGACGACAAAGCCGACGCCTCCCACGTTTCGTGATGGAACCTTTTCACCACGAATGATGAGGGTCCCATCACTCATCTGTCGCACGTCCTTCTTCCTGGACTTCGTTTCCTGCAGAGCGATGATGTGGTAGTTGATGTGCTCTGCAGCGTCGAGAAGAGCGTGGAGGTCGGCGTTTGTGGAGACTGTCCTGGCGTTGTAGGTGCAGAGCATGAGGCAATCTCCATGGCGTGTCGTCCGGGCAGACTCGTTTTTGTCCAATCCGAAAGGCGCCCTGAGTACCCTGACATCGTTCTTGCTACCACCCGGCGCCGTAGGCGGGATCCGATGTACAGGGTTTTTTCTAAATCTTCTTGCTGTCTGAGTAATAAAATTTGTTCCCCTACAAGAGGTGGCTTACTAAACCTACTCTTGATTTCCACGGGGTGATCGCTGACCCCGGGCTTGGAGCGGGGAGGGACCGCCTAGCGACCAGAAGAAACCAGACGGCGCGCTAGGCATCCGGCCGAAACCGGAAACGTCGAACTCCTTCACAGCTTGGGAGGCCCTACCAGAGTATACACTCGGCTGTGCATCGCAGTTCGACACCCAGTGTCACCCCCACGCCACGATGAGGCGACCGACTATTTGTGGGGGACGCGTAGCTCAAATAAATATCGCCTCGGGGCCATATTGCAAGCATACCTTGCCAATGTACCTCCTCTCGTCATCACTGAGCGGCCGTTATTTTTTTGCTTCCTTTTTCTAGATCACAGCAACCGGATCCTCCTTATGCATGGGGTGAAGGAGCACAGCAACTGGATGGAGACGGTATTTTTATTCAAAAAAAACTGTTGGTTTGTCTTCGTGTAATATTGTTTGAGGACCATTGCTTACAATTTTTTGATCCTTCTGTGCTTGGCATAGAGTAAAATGCCAGGAGTATGATATCAACCTATTTTTTTTTCAATAAACTCCGAATCCAAGCGAATTAGAAGCACTCTTGTGCCTTCCGTTTGTGGGGTATAAAAATATTGCGCTGTTATACTCATTAATTTGACACCTACTGTCTTTGCAAGGATGATATCACATTTCCGACAGACCATTCCATAATGACTTGCCGCGGTGTTACTGCTTCGCTCAAATTCATTCGCAATCTTAGCATGGGCTCATCTATTTGAAAAAAAGTTAATCGATTATTAGCATAAAGTTGAAATTCGAATAAAAAGACGACCTGTTGTAGACCTCAGAACCGTCAGAAACACTTCCAAAACTTTCCACGTCTTCTTCTTATCAAATCTCAAGCAAGTATACTTTCCGCTATTAGAATATACTGCTTTCTTCTCGAACTTGCACTCGGTAGTTTCGTTCCACTTATCGTTTATAACTTCGCTCTCCTGCATTTCGTTCATGTAGAGTTGGTCGAATGAATCCAACAAAATCAACTTATTTGGATGCCTTACATTCATGTCTATGCCACAAACTCTTTGTTTTAAATACTTTCACATACGCAAAATTCACACACGCATACGCATTCACATACCTGACACACGCTACTGCAGTAACTTACGACTGCTATATAAGCAATCCCACTGCTGCCAATTTTTTTTTGGTTTTACCCGGGGATACCTGGCGTGCAGGAGGGCCTCCCTTTAGGCACTTCCGTACAAACGGGCGACGTTGAGGACTTCCGAGCGTGCGCAACATAACAAAAATACCGCCCAACTGTCAGGCCATGTCAGCGGTCGGCAATGAATTGGCCCATGCGAGCGGCCAGCAGTGTGCCCGTCCCAAAACCATATGCCGTACAAGCGATCAAGTGACCTTTATATGTTCTCATAATAGTCAAACGTTGTAAGAGCATACAATCGTGCTTGAGATATGACGCAGTCGTTATGTTGCCGCTAGAGTTGACAGTCAAAATTAACGTTTCTTGATCGACTGAAAAAGCTCAATTGAGCATCTTTGAGGTTTATAAAAATAATCATTGAGCTTGTGTATTCTTTTTAGTGGAAGTTGGATCAACGCTGCAGTAGCGATCCATTCACATCCCTAATTGTGTGAACTTGTACGAGGACAAAAATAATTGAAAATTGATTATTATAGAATCCTTTACCCCATCCCAACAGCGAGACCGTGCGACGACCTTTCCCGCGCAAGCTGCAGGTAATCGTAACCTTGCGTGGGTTTCACCTTAGCCGTGCAATCGTCTTTGAGGACCATACAGTCGCACACACCAACGACTCGTTGTGTGTGCGACTGTACGGTCGTCACACCCCCAATACATAGAGCCATGTACTCTAGTAACCTTCATTTTGAGCGCCATAATAAAACACAACCTTCAATTAAAAAGCAAAAAACCATCCGGGGCGAAGCCCCGAATGTTTTAACCCTGACTCTATCGGCATGAATGTGAATGAAGCAACTATAAGGAATAATCTTTGATTATCTCAGCGAGACGAGAGTTTCCGTTTCTATAGACTTTTTTGCGCCAAATAGAAGGTTTCTGTGAGGGTTTTTTATTCATAGTTCAAGACGACATCTCTCACTTAACCTCGTCTTTAACTGAAACTGAGTTCCAGAAGCTTAGGTAGGCGGTTGGAGCTAAACAAAAACGCGAAACTCCGCCTAAATCTTGCGCGGAGACTCGTTCACGGAAATGCCAGTCTATCTAGTTAATGAGTGATTTTCAACGTTGAGATGTTGTCAGTGCTCCTCGTCGTGTCATTAGGAACAGAATGATGCATAATGTTGCGGGGTTGTTGAGACCCCAGAGCCAAATGCTCCATCTGCTCTGGTCTGTCTCCGGTGCTCGTTTGCGTCTCCGCGCGTTGCGCGCTACCTCGCTACCCCAAACGCGGCGTGCGGGACATTTGGCTCTGCTACCCTTTTCTTCTTTGTTTCGAACCCAATTCTAAGAAGCTACACGTCATATTGAAGCTCTTGATGTCCACTCTTACGATGACAACGTCCCGAAACCACATTTTTGATTTAAACGAGAAGTTCGGCAATCTCTCGTTTTTCCCCTAGTTTAATTCACTTCACGCGGTTTTTCATTCTATTGATCTTGCTTTTGTTTGCAGACAACGATCCAGTGCTTATCTCTTAAATTAAGAGTCTTAGGATCTTCACTCCGGGAGCAAAGCATCTTGGCGAACAATAATTAAGACGGAATTTTTTGTCAAAAATTGTTAAAAGTGCGTTTTTCTTTATCTTGCTCTATTTCAGTGCTTTCGCAGCAAACTCTACATCTTAGGCCCCGGTCAGACTTCACGCGACTTAATCGTCGCGATCTAATCGCCAAGATTTCCATTCATTTTCATTTCACATTCAAAAATGTCGGGCTGGAAAAGTATCACAACCGAATGCAAGTTGATCGGCATGGAATGATGTTGTAACAGTTGTCTCGTCGCGATTCAGTCGCGACGATCAAATCGCGTGAAGTCTGCCCGGGGCCTTAGAATAATGAGCGCAACAATCGAGACGATGTCCTAGAAAACGGGTACTACAATGCGGTGGTAAAAATCTGTAAGGACACATGAAAAACTACTTTGGCCTGGACGCGCATTTCGACTATGGGTAAGAACAGAACTGTGCATTCTCAAAAAGGAAAACTTTTGAACTCAAGAAAGGAGGACTTTTGACATATCTTCTTGTTTATTTTTTCTTGATAATCGTTGCTTCCGAAACATAGTCGTTTTATTGAAAACACAAAGAAAAAACTAGCTTCCCCTCGTTTTCCTCTGTGTTGTGGACCATGTGGTCCTGGAGCGAATACCTGCAATGCCGCCAAATGAAAGATTTTGAACTTATTGCAGCGCTTTTATCCGATTTCCAAGCGTTTCTTTTGGTTTTGCTAATTGTTTTGCATTTTCTTCTCTTCTCTGGTTTTATATGACCTTCACCTTTCCTTTTATGAGGATAGGTAATTAAAAACCTTCACTTTTGAGGCCCTGTCTCTAGACTATCGAAGGTCTCTGTCTTTATGCCAACAAGCGATTGTCTGCCAATCAGTAACCCCGCACAGCGCGAATGCCTAATAGTACAACATTTTGCGAAGACAGTTTCAGCGAAAAAGGAAAATGGAAAAGTTTATGTCAAAGCACTGCTTTCTACAAGTAATCAATAGTCTTATTTAATCAACGATTGATCACATCTACACAATAGACAGTGGCCGTGTCTCGCTACTACATGATGTGAGAATAGTGTTGTTCAGTTTAGTAGTCGTGCAACTGCTAAGAGAAGGTACTATGCTCTTAGCCAAATCAATTTAGCTCAAAAATGTATGTTTTGCTTGCTGTAAACTCAGAATATTGTATTTGAGGGTGAAGTTGTTGGAACGTTACCAAATCATTGTCGTCAGACAATTAAGGCCAGCACCTGCCGACAACCCACGGGCGACGCCAGCCCATCCTGAGGGCGCCGATAAGTATCCGATAAGCGCCCGATTCCCGCGGATGACTAGGTAAGCGCCTGAACAATTCCATTGAAGCTTCCGTTGAATATGCGAAATGCACTCTGAAGAATTGGGTAGGAAGGAATTTTCATCCGTTTCCATTCCCAGGCTGGCATAACTATCTACACAAAAAAGAAGTGGTGCTTAGACCACCTTAGTCAATTCCCACTTGATTCTAGAACCGAGGACTTTAGTGGTGGCAACTCGAAATGCTGTTAATGACGAGAGCCTCAACTTTACTTAAAGGCAGTATCCGGGTAGAAACTCGATTTTGAGATTTTGTGCTTATCCGGGCCTACTCGCTATGCTGAATCCGAAAATCCACATTGGAGAGCGCGAAAACGACGAAAAACGGCTCTAACACTGGAGGGAAATCAGCAAGTGGGCGGGGTCTTCCCCACTGCAAATTCACGCTTCCAGCTTCCAGAGAAATTTTCTCGAATCCGTTAGCCGCCCTGACATCACTACCGATCAAGTGCAAACAAATGACTTAAAAACGGAATCAAAAAGATCGCCCCCGAAGCTGGGAGCGTGAATTCACCATGGGGAAGACCCCGCCCACTTGCTGATATCCCTCCAGTATTAGAGCCCTTTTTCGGCGTTTTCGCGCTCTCCAATGTGGATTTTCGGATTCAGCATAGCAAATAGGCCCGGGTAAGCACAAAATCTCAAAATCGAGTTTTTGCCCGAACACTGCCTTCAACTTCTTACTTAGGATGCAATAGATGAGAGCAGCCCCATCAGCGCGGCGCATTTCATGCGAGTATTTTCTCTTACATCGTGTAAGAATTGTGGCGTCCACCAAGGCCCGGGCTAGCCAAGGTGATTCTGTCGGGCCGTGGCAATGACCTAAAGGGGTGGAGCTTGTCCAAAAAATAATTGTGCAGGGCGTCTTGTAAGGTCCGAGGCTCGCCCGAGCGTTTTTTTGAGTGCGCGGGTGTTCCAATAAAACATTTGAGGTCGCGGCCTTTCGCTTGCGATAACATTGAGCCGCGGTTGCCAAATAAATAAATTTAGCGCTGCGGATGGTCACTCCAAAAATTTAAGGTGCGCACTGCCAAAAGGCACTGTTAAGGGCGGCGGTGCTTGCAAGAATTGTCCGAGTAGTTACTGAGAAAATGGAGGAAAGTTTGCAACGACTTACATTGTGTCCGTAAGGAACAAAGTCGATTCTTGAACCGTACTTTTTACATTCTGGACAACAGAGCACAGCCAGTTGATTTTCAACAACAACCAATTGCGAAATTACGAATGATTGGATTGGTTTGGCGACTGAAAACTTAATCATTACTCGTAACCAGAAATTCTTGAAAATTCTGATTATAATTTGAGAAGACTGAATCTAAATTCTGACATGCAGGCAACATAACCATCAGTGAGATTTCTGAAACTTTCCACGTCTTTCCTCCATGCCATCTCAGACAAGTGTATGTTCCGCTGTCGGATAACATTGCATATTTCTCAAACTTGCATTCAATGGTTTCGTTCCAAGAAAAGTATTCGCTTTCCTGAAGGTTGCAGTAGAGCTTATAATTTGATGTAAGCAAAATCAATCAAAATGACTTCTTGAGTGAAAAAGTATTAATTCGCAAACTCTTTGGCTATGTACTTTATTTAGACTCCAAACTATGCTCAATACAGTGTGTCCCAAAAGTCTTCAAGCCTTGAATTTTCTTAGCTGTAACTGTAAGAAGCAACATTGTTACATGAAATTTAGCAGAAATCTTATGTGAAGAACCTATAAAATAACAACGTATATTCAGTTTTCGAAAAAAACCTTATTTGGCCTTCACACAAGCCCTCACACTCTTGCGGAACGCGTGCACCATGGCAGACAGATAGTTGACATCGAGAATGTCTCACACCTTCTGAAGCAAGCGTTCCAGGCTGCCCAAAATTCAGTTTGGAACAAAGCAAGCCTTGCCTTCCATAACAGATGACAAAGAAAAGCAAAAGGTTCTTGAGCCGGCGATATAAAGCACGTTGATCTGAGAAGCACGCTTGTGAGATTTAGCAAAAGTGTCAAAATGTAGCAATCAAGTTCTGGAGAGCATCAAGAAAACAGCAATTTTGGTGTGCATGGAATGAATTTAAAATTTCAGTAAACAATGCAGAGCTTATAGCTAGAACTAGTCACTCAAATTAAATTCGTGTTGGAGTTTTCAGCTTTCTCGAATTTTTGTTTCCGAGAACTTTTTCTGCTTATTGACACGACACCACTTTGAGTTGTTTGTTTCTTAATCCTGCATTGATGAATAGAGACTACTGATTAGTTTTGCATTGAAACGTAGAGTGAAGCTAGCGCTACAATATGCAATTCAAAATTACGCAAGAGCTTCAAAGGCAAAAGAGCTGTAGATGTTTGAGTAAAGGGTACGTTAGCATTGGATTGTCCTCAAAATTGTAGTATTGTTTGCTCCAAAAACAATATTTCGAGAATGTACAGCGCAAACGGTATGATTTTCTTGAGTAATACTAAAACCTAAACGAAGTACTCATACGCAAAATTTGACTGAAAAGCGAGGAATACTAACAAAGTTACTAAGTCGGGAAGTTAGGCTCAAAGACTTTTGGGACATCCTGTACACTAATCTGTTTCCGCTCCAGGCAATGGCTCATAGTAAAGCTTCCAGATCAGATGGACTGAATTGAAGCCCTCATCCGAATATTATAGGTGAAATAAAGGCCGCTTTTTTTCTCGAGTTGTAAGAATGCAAAGAGAAATTTCATTTGACCGTCCGTCTACCTAACAAGGTTGTTTACTTTTCAGTTCATATTCAGTTAAACGACGTTTGCTTTAAATAGTGTGTTGATGGTGATACGCAGAAAAATTTCCGTAAGATACTCCTGAGTAACCTAGAAACACGTCAGTTTAACATGTCGAAGGAATAGAAAATCAAATAATAAGAAACCCCTTTGAGTGCGGGTTGCATCTCAGTGTGGGGCGTCACTCTCCTGGTATTCTATAATCTAGATTCACCTACGCCTAATCACATTCAGCAAAGGTGTAACTTGCTGAGTTTGCACTCAAAACCAGCACGTATCATGCTGTATAAACGGACACACAAGAATAAAAGATAAAGGTTTTTGATTTAATACTTTCTGCAGGCATGCGCAAAAGCACTCTATTTCAAAGTCGAGGGGGCTACTGAATGCTGCGGACCCATTACAGTGACTTGTAGGGTCAGCGATTGTCAAGTCAATTATGTCCCAGATTACTTTGGTACCAGTTTAGCGGCTTCCGAAGGGTAAAAGGGATTGGTTGGCTCATAGCGGGATTGCCTGGGTCCGACTGGTCATGGCGTTGCCCTATAACGCTACGCCATTCGTCCCTAGAAAGCAGAAGGCCACCAAAGACATGTTAGACCACTAAATTGGTGCTGACGTAACATCTAACCAAGTTACTCAGAGTCAAGAATGTATTGCATGCCTAGCATTACAAAGGTTTTCCACTAAAAGACTTGTTACTGTCTCAAGGGTGACAACGGAAATACGGAAAATACATAAAAACCATACACAAAAACCTACATCACGTTCATAAGGAATGAAGTCGATTGCAGAAGGGTATTTTCCACATTCTAGACAGTTAAGCGTGACCAATTGATTTTCATCAACAATCATTCGCGAAACTGCGAATGACTGGATTGGTGCAGCGACTGAAAAGGTGAGTTCATACTCGAGAAATTCTCAAAAAGCCTGCCAAAAAATTTGACCTGTTGCAGACCGTAAAACCATGAGCGAAACTTCAGAAATTTTCCACGTCGTCCCTTCGTTCCACTTCAGACAAATGTATCTTCCGCTGTCGGACACTCCAGCTTTTTTGTAAAATGTGCACTGATTTCTGGTTGCTAGCCAGTCGTCGCTTATGAATTCGCTCTCCTAGATTCAGTGAAATAGAATTAATTCAAATGTAAAGCGAAATGAGTCAGGACCATGTCTGGACCCCTTTTTCCAAAATTGTTTGAGGCTACCTTATATGCTTTAGCCAATCCAGCAAGTTCCTCTGTCTTAACGCATTTTTTGGTAAAAGTTATGGCAAACACGATATCAAAAAGAATAGCAGAGTGAACGCCGTTTAATGTACGCTTTTTTCCAACAGAGAGCTCCGTTCTCATTGCTATTTGCTGTCTCATCTACCAGGGTTAACCACAGTAAGCAAACAGCGACTACCATTAAGTAAATCTCGTGATAAGTATTGCATCCTCAAGAAGAGTAATACATATAAAAGTAATTAATATGCAGGCAATTAGGTCACTAAGTGCTTGGAGCTGTGCCATCTAAATCACTTTACATAGTGCGTCAAAAGTTTGTGAGAATTTGAACCAAGAGTGAAGTCGCTAGTAACAAAAAAATTGTTGCAAACATAATAAACATTCAAAATATAGCTTAGCTTTTAGACTTAAAGTAGTCTTTTCTGGCTTCCACGCAGCCCTTCAAAATCTTGGCGAGTCTACCTGTGGTGGCACGCTGGTAGACGTACATAGTAGTCAAATTCGTCCGACGCCTTCGCCGCAATCGTTTATTCACTTGGCAAATGTGCAGTGCCGTAAAACAAGCTTTTGCAACAATGCACTACGAAGGTTTTTTTTTGCAAAGTTTGGGAATAACTGGAATTTAATGAAGGTATGCGTTCTTCGCGTGATGGAAATTTGGTTACAACTACGTGAAGGAAAACAACAATTTATCTTTTAAAAGTGTAAAAATATCACATCGTTATTATAAGAAAGACTGAGGGAATAGCCTTGAAACCATTGACTGCTGTACTTTTATAGCTTCGAAATTTGTTTCAAAGACAGATAGCCACTGGCACGCAGGTAAGATTCGCAAATTTCATTTTTCGTATTGAAACAATAGCTTCTAGCAAACGTAACTTCTCGATGCCCTACACAAAACCTCTACACTGTTGTGCAGAGGACTCTATTAGGGTAATTAACTTATTTCCAGCTACGGACTTGAAAGTGAAAATCAAAAAATTTACCTTTTCAAACTGAAAGTACAGTCGTTTCACTTTTTTAGAAAAATACAGGGTGTCCCAAAAAAAATGTATCGAACGTTTGATCGTTAATATCTCTCTTCCCAAGAAGTCTTTTGCCTTGCTTCTACCGATTTATAGAGCTGGCTTCAACTTAGATTTGCATTATAGAACAAATCACCCATCTCTCTTCATTACTGTAGGATTACGGTAGAAACTTGAAACATATGGGTCAATGTGGAAAAAGCCGCCGTTTCAAAATTTTTCAAAAAATTGTGAAAACATGTGTAATAGGGTTTTTATGGACGCTGAGTCCAATACCCAACTATTCACAAAATTACGAGGTTTTCTAAACGGTGTAACCGCACTTTTTAGGAACATTGAAAAAATGGCCGCTACCTCCTACCTGACATTATCTTCAATAAAGCATCATAATAAGTTGGGAGCTTTGCAGTTATAATCAGCAGCTCTAAATAGCATAGTGTAAAAGCTTTCAGGCTGTTTTGTTCCCTTTCTGAGGCAAAATATAGCCTTTCATTGCTTAAAACCCTCTTTGAAGATTCTACCGTAATCCTACAGTAATGAATAGAAACAAGTGATTCGTTCTATAATGCAAATCTAAGTTGAAGCCAGCTCTACAAAACGGTACCTGAAGCATGAAAAAAGACTTCTTGGGAAAAGAGATATTAACGATTAAACATTCGATACATTTTTTTTTGGGACACCCTGTATATGGCAGCCGTTTTACGTCAAGAAAAGTACATCTTGTAGCGTAAGAATGCATCATGTGACATAAAATTCAGATCAAAACCAAGAATGGCTTTGTATTTACAGTACAGCAAAGTAGTCTCCCAATACTTTTGACGCACTGTATGTTTGCAGTAGCCTTAGAATAGAATTGACCTTGAGATTGTCAAAAGAGTCTCTAGCTTTTATGAGAATAGAGAAGGTTTTCGATGACATACATTTCGTTTGATTGAAACAAATTGAATTTTCGAAGTGTTTGTTCTACATTCTTCTGGAAAGTAGAGCGAAACTGTTAGGTTCTCGACAACAACCTGTTGCGAAACAGCGAAGGTTTGAACTGGTACGGCACCTAAAAGACTGATACAAATTTGAAGTCAAAACTCCTTTGAAGCTCGGTCAAAGTTCACCTTCTGCGGACTTCAAAACCATGAGAAAGACTTCCACATCTACATAAATGGATTCCCGGACTTTATAGCAAGTGTATAGTCCGCTATCGGAAACTGCCGCTTTCTTCTCAAACTTATATTTCGACGTTTCATTCCAGTCCTCGCTTAGTATTCTGCTCTCCTACATTTGCATCATTGAGATGATAATCAAAACTCCATTGCGTAAAGGATCATTTCGACAAAAGGGGAAGGCAGGCGCGGAGGACATCTGCAACAAATACTACCTCTTGCATGTCTGAGAAATGCGTACGGGTTGAAGCTGTCCGCGCCAGACCTTCCCTTTGGCGCCATTAGGTGTTCTACCCGGCTCAATCTAATATGCTTTTGGTAGAAATGGCGATGACAAAATCTTTTTTTCATATTCAAAGTACTTCTGTATTTGTACTAGGCTGATTCAAAGTACTGTGCGATTTTCAATTGCCTTGGTTTAGCGCAGCTATTTTCTTAGGGTTTTGCACTTATGGCACTGCCAAAACCGTCATCTAGAAGTACTTGAAGTACTTTTCTTGCTGTTTCTAGTGCTTACTTAACGAATCAACTTTTCTGTAACGAAATTTTGAGCCCGAAGCAAAGTTGCCAAAATGCAGTCATGCCCAAGAAAAAGTTTACATGAAGGGGAACTTCCGCAGTATTCGCAAAACTAAATTTATGATAACTTATAATGGTTGAGTGTGTAACGGGCTAACATAAGCATACTTTTCCTCCGGCGTAGAGAATGTCTTATTGAGTCGGTAAGAAAGTTTTTGGACATTTTCACGCGAAAATTGCTATTTCTCGGGTAATAATGCATTCACGATCGCGAAAATTTGTAGTTGCACTCTCACGTATACGCGGCTTATATTTGTGCAGGTGGGAGGAGCTTAGGGTCAATAGGGGCGAAGTTTGCCTCCGATTATCTCATTTTTCCTGCTAATTAAGCTCAAATTCCCAAGACCTTGCATAACTGCATGTGAGTTCATGTCTACTATATATTGGAATATTTACGAGTGTTACAGTGTTTACGGAAGGTAGAGTTCTAAGCTCTGTCAAAATCCTATGTCTTCGAACTTTCGCCTCTATTTTCACAGGATTCATTAGTCATGGTTGTGATTAGTATGGTCTTGTACATAGTGTTTGCTTTCCTTTATCCAGTGATGTACAGCATGCCCTATTGGTGCTTGCATCGAAGCATTATCTTTGTATAAAGGCAATGTCCGAGAACTTTCTTACCAACCTAATAGTTTTCCAATTTTTTTCAAAGATAGAAGACAAACCCAGTTATTCAACAAGCGACAACAATCTATGTATATATAGCGACGTGTGATGCATCCAATATTGCATATGCTAGAGCAAAGCGAGGGCAAGCAGGAATTGTCAGCTAATTGGCTTTTTTCGTTTGCGACAGAAAAAATCAAAGTTGGAAATTCGGCATATTTTCGCATGCGGAGGAGGGCTCAAGTAATGGGTTTTTTTATTTGCTCGCAAAAATTTCTTTGCAGCAAAAATAACTCAAATTCTCTTTGACCGCAAAAAAACCTTTCAAGTATAGCCCATTTAATGATGGCAGCCAAATGAGTCTGTTCATCCTCATGTGGAAGCATTAGTAAGTTAAACTGGGCGGTTTTGGAGAATACCTTGCAGATTTCGAAAAATTCTCTTTTTTTTTCTGCCAGCCTTCCTTACCATGGCATATTCTATATTCTATTTCTATACTCTATTTTCTCGAAGTTGGAGAGGGAAAACGGTTCTGTTTTTCTAGTCGTCGACGTTCAAACTATTCTTCCTGTGTACAACGAAAGCTCTCCGATCGCTTTGCTCAAGATTTTTGTACAGAGCAGCAGGACGGCAGAGACTGTTTTTGAAGGCAGCGTCTGGAAGATTTCGAACAAAACTTTTTCCGCTTACCTGGGATTATTCTTCCCACTGATTTCGAAAAGCAGCTTGCAGAGTACGAAAATATCGAAACGGGCTGTTCCAGAAGTTGTTGTTTTCGAATATGAAATCTTGCCGCCAAGGTCAAGACGCAGAGTCGTGGTGGGACCCTACTTCTTGACTTTGTGCGACATACAGACTCTGGCAATCGTTTGAAGAGGTGGGCAGGTCGCCAGGGCATCCCAATCGCCACTTCTGAAGCGGTATTATCGCTTCAGAAGCGGTGCAATGCCACTTGGGCTAAAGCTTTATCAGTGCGGGAGCCCCTATACGCTAAATTTCATATCTGCTTCTAAGCTTGCTTCAAAATCTCCCGATTTGAAACATCCTAAGGGTCGTGACATATGCATTTTGCAGCAGAGCTCACTTACAAACTGTGTGCAGGTCTGCGGAAAATTTCGATTTCCTGCGGTAAATTTGGAGCAGAGAGTGTCAGAAGGAGTAATTCCACAATTCGATCTTTCAGTTTCAAAGTCACCGCATTTCTACATCATACATTTTTATTTAAGCGAAGGGACGCATAAGAAATGAGAGAGAAGACTCTTGGATGAATTGTAGAATTCTTTGAGAAAAGTGTTTTCTTTTTGAACCACTATTCACAAAAGGGGCGTCAAACACTTGCATTAATTTTGTAACAATTCTCTGTTCGATTTCATTTTTTAAGGGTGCACCACAGGTGTATACATAAAATTAAAAAAATAAAAAATAATAAAATTTAATAGTTTTATTTTATTTGCAGCACTGCCGTTTTTAACGTTCATCTGGCAATGCAATACAACAAATATTCATGTCAATGCAACAAAGCGAGGCTCCGCTCTCTTGAATTGCTCTTCGAGAAAGGCAACACATTTTGTTAAATCTGTTACGAGTGAGCAATAAGCATTAAACCAATGCTGGGTTGCTCGAGGCAAATGTCATTTTCTTGCAAAATAAAGAACGCATTTGCTGTGAGCATATATTATAGTATCGGAGGTTGCTAATGAACTTTTAAATAAGGCCCTTTATTATGGTTCCGACTTGCGGCCATAGTGGGAAGCGTTTGTAATGACTTACGTTATGCCTGTATGGAACAAATAAAAAAGCTGCACGCCAAACTTTATAGTCGTTCCATCCCGGACAGCTGAGAACGGTTAACTGGTTTTCGAGAACGACCAATTGCGACGTAGAAAATTCTCCGTATTTCCCTGAAAAACTAACTTTCGGTCGAATTTTGCAAAAGCAAAGCACTGTGCAATGAATTTCTCCCAATGCATTTGGCATAACTCGTACAGTTCCCATGAGTAGTTCTTTTTCATGATGTCATTCATTTTCCAAAAAATTGCAAGAAAATTGTAGAACTCACACGCTTATACTGATCTTTCACATGTCACACACTTGAAAGCCCATACGTCGACATATGGAATTGCACGAGATATGCCTCAGAAGCATATGGAACTCATTTCTGCTCGATCGTACTTACACTACTGGTAAATTTATGGCTGACTAGCCGGCATGCCCGGCTTCGCCGCATCGGGGGTTAACGGTTCAAAAAAAATTACTGAGCAAACTTGAAAGTTCAACATATATGCACTCTGGCTTCCTTCTATTTCCTAATACATGACATATCGCTGATTACATCGGTATTACAGCCCCACCCCATCGTGAAATGAAAATCAGTTACACCGCTATGTTTGTACGAAAGTTGGAGGCGGTTTGATATCAATCGACAAAAAATCATTTCTCTTCGAAATTGATTTAATAGAAGAAGTGGAAATTATGGTGCGAAAAGTAGCCTACCGGGAGGATCGTTGTCGAAAATATATGTGTGCAAAGTTTGGGCTGATTGGTCCACATACAAAAATTTTTGTAATGAACCCACCGACTGACAATTTACCAATACTCAGCTTTATATATATACCACCATTTGATTCAACTGGCTTGGCTTCGGGAAGGCGGGAATTCGTGACCTAATTAAGGCTAGGTAATGATCAGAGAGCACTCGCGCGTGAGAGACGCAGGTGCGTCGCGGGCGCGAGCGGCTTTGATTAGATCACAAAGCCCCGCCTTCTCGGAGCCAAGCTAACTGAATCAAAGGTTATATATGTATAGATAACCAGGCTCAGGCGAGGGCGTCCAAAGTCATCTAGTGACGCTTGTACTGTTGATGGAAATGGCAAGAAAGAGTTACAATCAAGAAGTTGCTTTGAAACAATGAGGAATATTCTCGATCCAAAAAAGTGAAGGAAAAATCATTAAAGTTTTGAATGTCAATGTCTTCGCGAAAGCTAGCTAGATAATCAACGGTTGCTGCATGGAGCGACTGCTAATTATAAACAACAAAGTGCCAGATGTGCGAAAAAGTGCGAAGTTAACACGTTTTTGGACCGCCTGCAGTCACCAACTTCGTAACACCTTTGAACCCAGCATAAATTTTATTGAAATCTAGCAATGTCAATGTATAAAGAATTGGGGGAAAGTCCTTGAACACGTATTTTCATCGTAATGATGAAGCTAACAAGGGAATGTTCAGAAGTCGAAGTGGCCAATCCATACAGTCTGCATACCATTAGATGCAGCATAAAACGCAGACTGTAAATATATCTCCCTTATCTGGAGAGCGCTTCTGTGGACGAAATTATAAGCCGTTGAAAGCCATTATTTTGCTAAGAAATTGTGCGTGTAAAGCGCAAACTTGACTGTACAAAGTCATCCTCGGCTTAACGCTTGACCAAAACACGCAACTAGGTCACTTCATATAACTTGTACCTAGAGGTGAGTTGAAAGAGCAATAATGTGCCTAATTTCGCAAATTTTGTGTATAGGCTGCTGCATGACGAAGGCGCAATATCGCGCATGAGGTGCGGGATCCACAACGGTGAGGATACGCGCGCGTCGCGTTCGCGCACGCTGAACTTATATCGCCATTGCGCCTTCGTCATGGCAGCAGCCTTTACGTTTTTTGCAGTAAAATTGCTCATAACTTCGTCTACAAAGGCGCCCTGCCGTTATGGAATACAGATTTAAAATCAGCAATCTATGGCACATCGAATGGTTTGCAGCTTGTATGGACTGTTCACTTCGATTCTGATCATTTCCTTGTAAGCAATATGATTACATGAAATCAATAAATAATGTTTACTCAACTCTTCTACATAAAATTAACTTTATAATTCGAAAGATCCTCCTTAACACGAACACAAGCTCGGAAAGCTGGGGTACGCTGTTCATGGTGGCCCGGAAATGCTCCACATCGACTTCCTCCCACGGCTTCCAAAGAGCACATCGCAGAAAGTCCACAGTCTTGCATGAGTGAGTGCAAGGTTTGGCCTAAAGATCTGACCACACGCTGTGGTCGAGAGTATTCAGATTCGGCCAATCGGAAGCCTTTCCGCAAAGTATTGAAGTCCATAACTTGCTTTGGAGCCATGCTTGAGCAATCTATACTGCTGGGAGCACCAATCGCTCCCGACAAATGGGTATTGGTTTACACCAACGATTCCTTCTTCAGGATGTTATACACATACATAGCAGTGTCTACCCTGATGCCCTGAAACACAAAAATCAGCAGCACCTTGCTGTCGGAAGCAATCGCCGCGCAAACCCTTACAGAAGCCGGATGACCTTCCTTCTACGTCAACCCTTACTATTGGCTTCTTTGGGCAATTCACTGATAATATTATAATCTTCTAACGTACCGCCAAACATGTCCTCATTAGTGCGAAAAGCATTAGCTTACCGCCAGAAAGTCGTGGTCACTCTACAGCAGCTGACAATCCTCAAGCGTCGCAAGTCGATCAGATTATTTCCACTCTTCGTCGCAAATAAGAAGTTGGGAATGACACGCGGTTTACCAGAAAATCACCCAAGCATATGTGAACTCAACACGAACATTTTCAAAGTAATGATCAAAGAAAAGCAGTGTACGCTATACTCGGACCTGCTAAAGCGTCGAACAAGAGAAGTCACGCCGGCGATATTTGAGTGTTAACATGTGGTTGAGGAGCGAAAGCCGCGTCAAAACAGATGTGCGACTCCTTGCGATTCGAAGCCAAAATCACACTTGGACATTGACAGGTAGAAAAGCTGGCCTTCACGAGGAATTCCTCATTAAACTCAAGCCTGGAGACACCAACATGCCCTATCTTCTATGGCTTAATCAAAGGCGCAAACTCCCTTTGCTCGAATTGCAATCTGTGCCTGCAAAAATCTATAAGATACGACCCATTGTCAGTTGTACCAATGGGCTAAAGGATCAAATGTCTTAGTTCCTTGTTCAAACTGTCAGCCAACTCTTGAATAGGACACCAGCCCACTTGAGCAGCACGAATCCTTTCCTGGAATTACTGCGCCAAACGAGGTTTAATGAGAATTGCGTGTATGAGACTTTCGATGTCAACTCTTTGTATACAAATGTATCCATTGGGAGCGTAAGCACTATCTGAAATGCTGAACCCAGATGGCTCAACCATGATGATGTAGGGTCTCAGCAAAACGGCCTCGCAACGCTCATTAAAGAATGCTTCAGCTGCAATTTTTTTAAATGGTCTGGAAAGTAATACGCGCAGATTAGAGGGCTGCCAGTGGGCCAAAGATTAGCACCCGTATTAGCAATTTGCTACACAAGCAAGATAGAACAACCTATGCTTTTCAGAAGCCCGCTTATGTACTGCAGGTATATGGACGATTGTTGTATTGTAACATCCACACAGTCCGAGATGAACCAATGCTTCAATATACTAAATCAACAATCGCAGTACATAAGCTAAATAAAAGAAAAAAAGCGTAACGGGTGGCTCGCCTTCTTGAATACGGAATTGATGATGAGTAAAGGCTCGGTTACCATCAAATGGTATTGCAAAAAAAGAAAAACATAATTGTGCACGCAAAGTCCGCACATCCGATGACTGTCAAGCGAGCTGTCATTCACAACTTGTTTAGGACGGCAAAGAGCATCAGAGTGGCCGACGTGGAAGAGATGAATTGGCAGTAACGATTACGACTTCAAATAGATGTACAATGCAGCTCAAACGTTTAAGAAGAACTCCAAAAAGATGGGTGGACAGAGTATCAACAGGGTACCTCTGTGCCTTTCATTTCCGAACGAATCACTCTAACCATTAAACAATGCTTTGATACTTGGGTATATTCGAAATTTTCTATCAAATGACCGAATATCGAATAAATTCGAAAATAAAAAATCTCGAATAAACGAATATCGAATGAATTCGAGATTTAAAAATTTTTGAATGAGAATCCCGAATAAGATCGGAAAATCAAAAATTGTAATATAAGTTAGATTAAATAGATAATTAGATAAAATAGATTTTCTTTTCAATCAGCACCCTCATTCACCTCCCTGTACCAACTCCCAGCCTCGTAGCTCAAAATATTTTTCCAAAAAATCAACAATATCGATAAAATAAAATTTTATAAATAATCAGCACCCTTCCTTACCCTCGGGTGTATGTCGAAAGGCGCGCGTTTCGGCAAGCGTTGTTGCCAGAAGGGTTTTGTACTCTACAAAACCGAGGTTTCCAAACTTCTAAAGTTTTGTCATCATATCAAAAATAGTAACAGAACTTTACTAGTTGAATCCCGGAAGTACTAAACCAATTTTGAACATTTTTCCTGGTTTTTCTGATTAGTGACAATCGATCAATACGCGCCATTCGACCGTCTCCCTCCTTACCCTCCCCCCCCTGTACCAAATCCCAGCCCCGTAGCTAGCATCTTGTAACCGGTAAATCGCGTACGACGTGAAGTATGTGGCCTGCATAATCAAAGCTCACATTTCTCAAAGTGCACCTTCTTTGTCCGGCTTTAGCCTTTACCATGGTTCATAGGCTGATAGCTCAGGGTGTTAAAGTGTACCTGCAAGCCACCGTGAAAATCTTGGATGCACTGTGATAACAGAACTATTATGTACTATCCACTAAACAAAACCTTATTGCAAGATGATATAACTGCAAATTTCACAATCGTCTAATACCCACTACACTTGCGATGTCCTTTACTCAAACACCATTTCGCAAAAAAATCTCTGAGGTAAATCTCAACGGGGATGTACTTACATACGAGCCTTAATGCTGCTTCGAAGGATAAACGAGCATAACTTCTTATTTTAACTGGGCCTGTACTTATACATGTTTGGAACGCGTGCTTTACATTGTCGGAAATAATTGGTAAGCATAATGGAATCCTGGCACCAGTTTGGCAATCTTCAGCACTTCTTAAATGCCTAGGTTTTGACGAGGAATAGCCATTAGAGGCTGCTATCTCATTTGCCAGCTCGAGGGACTCTTGTCGTGCACACTCCCCATTGCAGACTTCGATTGCCGTCCTCTACATGTTCCGCAATACTGCTCGCTTAACAGCGGCCGGATGGCCGAATTTTGCGTGTAAGGCGATGCTCTTGGAGCTCTCTTTGCGATACCATTTCACTCGTATCCTACCGTTATTTAGCATTGGCTGGGCGTACCGTTATTTAGCATTGGCTTCAAATAGGAGAGCCAACCGTTTCGGGGTGCTAAAACAGATGGCAATCGCAGGTGCTAACCTTTGCCCCACTACCAACCCTCTCAACTGCTGTGAGTAGTATATGCCTGACCATTTGAAAATATTGCAGTTAAGACATTTTTTGATCAGATTATATGCGCTTTACTGAGCAGATACGTCGAGATGGTGTTACCATGTGCATCAAACAGCTCAGAAAGCGCTTATGCATCACCGTTTGATACGTTGGTGTAGAGTGACGTTAAATCAAATGCGCTTGCCATCCGTTTCATGAGCAGAATAGAAAGAACGGTGCTATTACGATGCCCTCTTATGTACTGCCGATGCAGCAGCCTTTACCTACATAGGGGAAACTGGTCGGATACTCAGCGTGCGTGTTAATGAATACTTGGCGAGAGACTGGAAAGCATGGCTAGGGAAACACAGAAGGGTAGATCACGGCGACGACTTTGATATCAGGTGCATCATCCCAGTTATGAGTCAAGAATTGCTGCTCGCAAAGCGCTTGAAGCGGCACATTCTTCCGCGCGAACCGAAGCTGAACGGAAAGAACGAATAGCTCTTTATCACAAGCGGCTTGATGCCATTTCTGGCATACTGTCACTCATAGACATTGTCTCCACTACTACTAGAGCTGTCCATTTCAGTCAGCTATAGTCTACCAGTTGAGTTTAGACGTCGTCGTTGCGCTGTCGGTGGAGATCTTGGCATGCTACTTTTCGTGTAAAGTCTCCGCTTGTTTCTCCTAAGGCGTCGAACTAGACTAGTCAAAAGGAGAGATTCGATCATATAGAACAAAAAAATAGTGTAAGACTTTCTTTTAGGCCTGGAGGAAGGCATTATTGCCAAAACGTTAGATCTAATAAATATCTTAACAAACCCAAGTGGCTCACAAAAAAGTTCATGAATACAAGACAATGCTCAGGTTTCATGACCGGAGAACATACATAGAATCAGCCATCTATTTTCTAGATGCCCGGATGCTTAGAAATCGCATGGCCGCCCCGCTTACCCCTGTCGATTCTCAGAGAACTTATTAATAACAGTTACAAATTCAACTTGTAAGCCATTTTCGAGAACCTACATATTTCCTTTATTTGGATCTCTTTAACTTCTTTCTCTCCTGTGTAATTTCCCAGTCTCGGCACAACTTCCAAGCGGAATTTGTAAGGTCGTTTCTTTATTTTGATTCTCTGATTCGTACAACAGATAAGTTGCGACGATACTTGGAGCGATTATTTCCAACTTACACATTCACGTTTCTCGACTAATTGGCGATCGACTATGGTATCGTTTTCAATTACGCTGAAATTCTTGTATTTTGCTTGTTTTAGGATGCTCATTCATTTCTAAGGAAGAAAAAGTAAATCTTTTTTAGGTACTTGCAGTAGTTCTGCCGATTCATTTTTGAAAACTTGGAACTTTCGCTATCTCGACTAATTTGCTTCCTAGTAAATTTACTGGTAAAAGTCTTTCTTTTTTGATGAGATTGCAATAAATTCTTATTGGACGCCGATGAAAAAGAAGATCATTGAGGTTTTGATTATTTCACTTTGAGTCTTGAAATGCTGATCTGAAATTGTAAAGAATAAAGGATAAAGGATTCTGCGTCTTCAATACCCTCTGGGGGCATGCGCCGAACGCACACACTAACTTCATAGTCGAAGAGGCAATCGTATGCGTGCGAGCCGATTACAGTGACTTGCGGGGGCCAGCCGTTTCCAAGTCAGTGCTTTTATCCTCCCAGATTACTCTGGTACCAATATACCGGCCCCGGGGGGTAGAGGGCTTGGTTGGCCCAGGGGTGGGATCGAACCTGTGTCCGATCTGGTCATAAGGCGCCTCATACCACTACGCCACTCGTCCCCTGATCGAAATTGTGGGTACATAAATTTTATGACCTACTTTTTGCAAGTGAGAAATCAATTTTGGCATTTTTCTTGTAAATTTGATTATTCGAGAATTATGTCACCTTGCAGAAACTGTTAAACAGCACAAATTTCCTTCACTTGTAAAGTGAAGAAATACAAAACTTATAACCTTATAAAACTCATGTGTTGACGAATCAAGATTTTTTTGCATCTCCAAATTTTCGACGGCCTAACTTTGAACCTTCAAAACTTAAATGTTCTTTTTATTCTATTTTTATCTTTGCAAGAATACAGTAAAGCTCACCAACATAAATTTACAAAGAAGAAAACTTCTTCTATCTTATCATAACTTATAATAACGGGCTAAGGATGTTTACGTGACTTTGTGTGTCTGTGTGTGTGTGAGTGTGTCTGTTACGAAATTCGTAGAGCGGTTTCCAGTGAACCTCCTGGGCTCAAATTTTGCACAGCGCATGCTACCCGCATAGAAGTCCAATACGCAAAAGCACGAGCAAATTCGTTGAGTGGATCCCTCAGAAATTGCACGCTTAACGGGTCCACCTGGCTTCTATACCGCAAAATTCGGTCCGTATCACCACTTTTTGCAGAGTCGTGGATGAGTTTGGTAAGCAAATGTGCAAGCGATAGAGCTTAGTCGGAAAAGTGGTCGAAAGTTCACTACATAACGAAAACGGCGCCAGAAAGAATTGGTTGTGTAAATGGTCGATTTGCCAAGGTTCTAGCTAAGCGTTTGAGAAGAATTTCGCACAGAGATATAGCTCACGGTTACTATTACCTCTAATAGCGACTATCAAGGCATGACAAATCCGAAAACATATTCAAATTTGCTGTTGTCTTCCTGCGAAAAGTTTCATCCACGCGAAATCACCGATCTCACGTGAAAAAACTTCTTAAATGAGTTGTTGTTTACATTCTATTCGTGGTAGTCGGCATAGCGCGGTGAGTTCCAGTGCCACGACTTTACGAGAATGAGTAAGGCACATAGATAGTAGAGCCAGTGCGAGCCTCTGCGAAGCAGAGGTGACGCGCTGGTAAAATGATATAGAAACAGACCCATTCAGACAGCAAAAAAGTTACAGATTTTAAAAAATGAAACGACAACTTTTTGGACAACAATACATCGCCAGATAATTACTTAATATACCTTTTCACTATTCATCATCACTCACTTTGGTCAATTATGCTTTGCCTTTGCCAAACAGTGGTTCGATTCGAGGGCATATTACCATGGACAATCACATTTGGCATTAAACAAAACCTATACCTTTGGTGTTGACTTTTTCGGACACAAGAATGCAAATAGACTTAGACCGATTGTTAAGAAAATCGTCCCTTACGATTTTTTATGCTAAAACAATTTTTTTGAAAAAAGTTCTAAATCGTGGTTGGGCGCAAGAAAAGTTTGCAGCATAGGAGATCTTATGCAGGGACGACTTAGCATCAGTTTGGTAACAACTCGCCAACTTTTGTTCCTTCAATTTCCAGCCATCTAAGTACAACGCCAAGTTTACATATGAATGCTTGATGACGAAAACCAATCTAAGACACAATTTTTTAGTAGTTTGTCCTCAGATCTCACATGGATTAAATTGCGGGTATATGAAAGTTATTTTGTAAGGCTTACCTTGCTCCGTTATTTAACATGTTCTTACTTTTAGATTAGCACTAGGCGTTAGCGCAAGGGATCTCCAGCAAGTATGAATCTACCTAGTTGAATGGACCAAAAATTTAGTTCAAGTCTACAAAGTGCGAATCAAAGACAGCGTCCAGGCAAATTTGGACATACTGGGATCTCAAGTGGAAAGTAATCTTGGGACTATATCCAAAACACTGGTCGAACGGCAGCCCAGATGGTGAATTCACGAAAAATTTTCGCCACTGTACCCCGTAATCGTATTAACGAACGACTTGCTTCATGTTCGCACGCTTTCATACCGCGGCCCAGAGTCCTCGCGCCAATGTATGCAAGTATGAATGTATGCAGGTCATCCGATAATAGATACCTGGGATCTAGTGAAGGCGAATCAGCCGGTATATCATTCGCACTACCTCATGAGCACAGTATCTCGTCAGTTAGGGCCCCAAAACAGCCTTCCTCCCAAAATTTTCATAGGTCCAGATTCCTAGGTGGGGTTTCTATCAACACGTTTACATTCACTGGTAACTCAGACAGTCGAAGGGATACCTCCGGTGGACAAATGGCGCGAGTCTGCCATTTCGCGCTCCAGAGCGCGAAGTGGCAGACTCGCGCCATTTGCCCTCCGGAGGTATCCCTTCGACTGTCTGAGAATATAAGCCACAGATGAGTACTATTTTACACCATCTGAGAGTTAGAGTTTATTAGAATTTCGTTAGCCTTGGCAAACCTGTTGAAAATCCATATGTTAAAATATTGCTTCATCTGTCAGATTATATTGGTTTAGACCGCAGTTTGAATGTATCGAGCGCTTAATTGGATTAAGTTACACGAGCGCATCTAAGACTTCGATAATCAAACTTTATTTTAGAAAACAATCAACAAAACAACACGGATAGAACAAAAAGGAGAATGATGTCACTAAATTAGATCAAACTACAAATACTCAGATAATTGCCGAGGCAAGCGATCTGCAAACTCAAGCTTTTTTGCAGGCCGTCAGCAGGATTTTGGGGCGTGGCCAAACCTTCAGTGGGGAAATACTTCCTTTACTGTCGCATGTTCTGCCAGCGGGAAGCAATACAGAGTGCAAGCGCTCGTCAAATGATTTCTTTCAGCAAACGCTGGCTATTCCAGCGAGCGCTCGAACTATTTTGACGCACTTTCGGGCATACGCTGAGCAAAGGTAAGACCCTATATGGCAGACGCGTCATCGATGGTTTAACTGCCCAAGTTTGGAATACTTTCTTCCAGAGGAAGGTACCCGTACGCTGTGCGTTCCTTCACAAAGGAACATGCGGTCATCAAAAGTTCTTCTGCATATTCTCGCGCCTCTGCATCGCCACTAATCCATGAAAAGCCGCAATTGTTCTTCAAGCGTTCTTCAAAAATTGTCCAACATTCTTTTAAAAATCTGCAAGCGGACCGCAAGAAATCAGCGGACTATCCGGTGCCCGCTTGCCCAGAAATCACATGGTTGCCTACCCTCGGCATTATCAAGTAGGAGTATACGATCAAGAGAAAGCGCAAATATATGAATGAGACGATGTTAAGGCAGATATTAAGCGAAAGTCATACGCAATTAACACTGACTCTGCACTATTAGCCATTTGTACGCATAAGACCACATCTCAAACCACAGCTGACATTCTAATGACGGCTAAAGTAGCATGAGAAAGTCACAACTGTTGTGCACATCTGCGCATTCCACCGGCGGGAACACTATGAACCGTCAAGTTCGTATACTCAGGCCTCTCCAACGAGATCGTAACGGGCTAGTTGGCCGTGGCTGTGCTGCAGCTATAGCTGCAATCTCTGGTGATGGATAGAGATCTCTATGTCGCCGGATGTAGGAGGGTCTCGTCTGATTACCTCTCTGTTACTAATGATTTTACATCATCTTGATTTTGACAGCGGTAACTTGCAGCCTTCCTAAACATCACAAGTAATGTCCCGCGCATATTCTCATGCTTCACACACCAGCGGCTGCTCCTGATGCGCTTTCATAATGGCTCGCCTCCCATCTATCTTTGATTCAACTGGTTTAGCTCCGTCAGGGCAGGCCGCTCGCGCCCGCGACGCACTGCGTTTCCAGCGCGCGAGTGCTCTCTGATCATTACCTAGCCTTAATTAGGTCACGAAGCCCGCCCTTGCCGAAGCTCAGCCAGTTGATTCAATTGTCTATGAAGATCGACTAACGCGTGCGCAAGTGGTGTGCTCAGTGATGAAAGGGTGATTGTAAAAGGTGATATGCTCCTTGGTTGGTTTGAAATACCATTGAAGTTGTTGCTACGCTGCAATAAACCGTGCTCGTTTGCAATAAACCTTAGTCCTACCGACTGCTTCCTACAGACGTACGGTAACCACACTGAAACGGCTGGATTCGTAGTGGAGCGCGGCGATCAAGTGGAGCGCCTTATTGGCATGCAACTTGGTTTTGGATCACTTGCATTATAAGAAATCGCGTTTGATGATAAGAATGACCCGAAAAGATTTTGTTTCTCTCTTTGACTCTAGTGCTTCTTTTTTGAAAATCCGCTTGGGTTGAATGCACATACGTTACTTTAGTTATAATTTCCGTTGTGGCAGGTCCTCCCAATCATTTTGAAGACAGCGTCCACCTTACGTTGAAGGCCTTGAGCAAGGGCCGCCTATCAAGCCAATGCCCAAGTTGCGGCGCAAAATGTCACTTCGGAAGCGAGAAAATTGCTCCGCAATAACGAAGACCCACGAGGACCCCAAACGGCACCGCCCTCCCCACCTATGCCTGCCCATCATTGTTCCGGGAAGCCGGCCCGCGGGTTCTCCGGAACGG